GACAAATTAATATTAATACAAGAATATAAAATATACTAATATATACTCTAACAGTTGGGATTTGGAGCAACAAGACTGGGACCTTGGCTTTAGAAGAGGCCTTTTTGACGAAGATGTTAGCAGCTGGTTAGGGCTAATAAATCAGCTAGATTCAGTTAGGTTGGGAGAAGCTACAGATGGGGTGAATTGGAAGATTGATGCCTCTGGAGCCTTCACTACCAAGTCCACTTATATTCATCTTTCTATTTCGTGTAAGATTCTTCATCCCCCTCATTAAGGCCATTTGGAATTCGAGGATCTTTTTWAATTGATTCTTTTATCACATTCTAAGATTTTCCATCGTTGAATGGATCCATTTGAAAACAATTAGATGCTGACAAAATTCTCAAAGATTGRCGTTCTTTATTCCTATTCAACAACGAACGTACGAATAGTTCCTTGATTTTKACTAAGGGATTGTTGAACCCTTGCCTTGGAATAAATAGAATAAAATGGATTGATATTGGTGCGATCTGACTCATTATTAGACGGGATCTAACAGAGTGATTGAAAGATCCCCGTACGCCAGTTCTTTCGAGCGAACTCCCGAACTACCATCCTCATCCTTAGAAAGGGTTTTGCTGGATCTCCATCCTTTTGAAGATTTTACTTTGAGAAGCACAATTCACTACAATCTATTCCCACCCTTTTACTCCCCCCGCCTACTCCCTTACTAACTAAACAAAATCCCCTAGCTTAGAAATGAAACGCTGAGGAAAAAATACTTACTTGCTTGTCGAGCTAAACGGGTAACGAGCACACCGAGCAAGAGATCTCGACAGTTAGACAGAAAGTTTGTCGGTGGCTCATCGTGGCTTAAATACATAGGATCGCCTCCAAAAGAAATGCAGAGCATGGTCCCTTCTTCCCTCCACTTGCCCCTTATGTTTAAAGGTTGAAGAAACCATTGATCATTTATTTCTTCACTATCCGCTAGCTTATAAATGCTCGTCCCATGTGTTTTGCTGCTTTGATATGAGCATCTGTATCCTGAGGAAGGTTGATGATTGGCTTTTACAAGCTCTTATTGGTGGGTGGTTCAAAAATGCCGAAAGATCGTTGTGGGTTTTTTTGTGGCAGTGGTTTTGTGGTATAGAAAGAAATCATAGAACTTTTGAAGACTTCTCATTAGATTTTCCTAAATTGTGGAGTAATGTACTGCTCACCACTTCTAGGTGGTGCTATAGTTTCAGAATTTTTTTTGTAACTACTCCCTTTGTTCTATCCTTCAAAATTGGAAGGCTTTCATGTCATAACTCCTGTTGGAGGAGGGGTTTCCTTTACCCCTTGACCTCAGGTGGGTCCTTTTGTGAGTAATACATATTCTCTCTGTTTCTTATAAAAAAACTTTTAATAGTGAATATTAAAGCTATAAACTTTCATAGGTAAGAAAATTGCACCTCCTAGACTTTTAATTGTAAAAATCAAATTCTCAAACTTAAAGAAATTGGATATATTTGAAATTCCTTTAAAAAATTTGGATCTATTTGAAAATTTCACTTGCTCTACGAAAAACAATAGTTTGATCCGCCTTGCAGTGAGAAAATTTCCTTGTATAAAAGAAGCCAAACCAGAGAAGTTGCTTATGTCTCTGACGATGGTGAACAAAGTGAGCTGCTATGTCTCCGACGATGGTGCTTCCATGATGCTATTTGATACTCTCTCTCAAATGGAAGAGTTTTACTAGAGGCAGGTGTCGTTTTGCAAGAAGTTCAGCATTGAGCTCAGGGCTCTCGAGTTTTACTTCTCCCAGAAGATCGATCACTTGAAGGACATCAGCACCACCAAAAAGTTGGTGATATGAATGCTCTTGTAGTGTCTTTGGTCCTATCATGCTTTATAGTGTCTCTTCCCTTCCTTCAAATGATTTAAACTTTGGAGTGAGTCTGTGCAAATGGATGTGGACTTGGAAGAGAGTTGGTGATATGAATGCTCTTGTAGTGTCTTTGGTCCTATAATGCTTTATAGTGTCCCTTCTCTTCCTTCAAATGATTTAACCTTCAGTGATTGGAGTGAGGCTGTGCAAATGGATGTGGACTTGGAAGTTCTCATTGTGTTCGGTTTAATAGGTTTCAGTCTCTGAGTCCTCACCAGTGCTTGCGACCAATTTTTCCTCTCTATAGTCTTTGCAGGCCTCTATAGAGCCAGAGTGTAGGAGTTGTTTTCAACAAAATGAGTGAAATTTTCAGATATATCTAATTTTTTTTTATTTTTTATTTTTTAAATTTGTGGGTTTAATTTTTATAATTGAAAGTGGGGGTTTGAATCATAGATCACCTCCTTATAAATCTTGGATAATGAATTTGATGACAATGATGGAGGTATTAGTATTAGTAGTTTTGACTCTTCCCAAAAGCCAGACATCCCTATTGAGGATACTTCTGAGCCATCCTTTGAGGAAGACTTTCAGATTTTATTTAATGAGCAAAGAAAAAATGATAAGTCAGGTCTTCCACATCAATTCCTTTTCTGAAGAAATAGGGATTATTCTTGTCCCATTTGAGTCCGTCCTCTTAGTTTTAAGTTGTTCAAAAAGTTGGAATGTTTTCTCTTAGCCTCTTGCAATTTTCGAAGTTTTGCAGTTTTAGTTTTGTTGGTTTGCTGTCCGGTGTGGTTTTCAAAGATTCTTTTCGACGTGCGGGTTGGCATATGGTGGTTTATATTTGGAGGCTTTTTGATGACAACCTTGAGGCTTCGATGTTGGCGATTACTCCTTGTTAGCGATCTGGTTGCGGTTTAGTTCTTGTATTCCTATCTTCTACTTGGCTCTTTTTGGAGTTTGGTCTTCGCTTTTGGTGCTAAGGAAAGTTTTTTCCCTCATGCAGTCATTGGCTCTGGAATTCGTTTCGTTCTCCAAGATTTGTAGCAAGCAGGTTTTTTGAGTTCTGGTTTAGAATGTTTTTTATCTTCTTCGAGCTTGTATCTTGCTGTGCCAATTCCTCATTATTTTTCTCTTCTTCTCTCTCTTTTTTTTCACCGCTTTGGGGTTTGTATCTTGAACATTTTTCCTTTTCATATATCAATGAAAAGTTATTTCTTGTTAAAATAAAAAACGGGTGCAGTTTTCTCACTTATGTAAGTAAGGTTTGATTTTTACAATTAAAGTTTAGGGGTCTATTTTTTTTCATTTATGAAAGTTTGAGGATTTAATTTTTACCATTGAAAGTTTAGGAGGGCAATTGTAACAACTACCATATTTTAGGGGTGGTTTGTACCATATGCTCTTTATTTTATTTTTAAGTTCTCAAGTAGAAACTTAAATAATGATTCTTTCCTTTTACAGCCTGATTCTCATGAGCGGATTCGTGAAATTTCCCTTGATTCTTTAAAATCTATGATAGGGTAGGGCTTAATTTAAAGTCCTTATGGTTAGGGATAGGGAGAGTATCTATGACATTGGTTCATGTGACGCCATCCATTCTTTTGCAATATATTTTTTGAGAATCCATTTATTTGTTCAACTAACTCCTTTTGCGAAGGATTATATATTGAGAATGGAACTATGGACCGGTAAATAATTTATATTTGGAAATCTATGGTGTTATTTTATATTTTATTTGTTTAGTAAAATGGATATTTCTTCACTATGATGGCATCTTTCTTTCAGTATTCAAGGTGGAAGCAGGCGTGGGCTGTTCCTCAGCGTTTGTTACAGAAAAGATTGTTATTTTCTACTAAGCTATGCGAGGAGCATGATAGGGAAGTTTCTGGGGTTGAATTGAATTGCCAATATGAGTGGCTTGTTAAATGGCGAGGCCTTGATTACAAATGCGCTACATGGGAGTTGGAAAGTTCTGCATTTTTAAGGTCACATGATGGTCAAGGTCTTATGGTAGATTATGAAAGCCGCTGTGAAAAGGCCAAGTTAGCTTCCCATGTGTCAAAAATTGATAAGGTAAATTTAAAAAAGTCAGTACTTAAATGATCAGCTATCTTCATTGATGTCGCAAAAAAATAAAATACTTTTTTGTTTGTCTATTTTTCTTTCTCAGAACCCCACATGAAGCTGGCCATATCAAGTGGTTAATTCTAGTCTTTCCATGGATCAAATTTGGTTTCCTAAAAAGTTCATTCATTTCAAAAGATGATTAATTTGATTTTTTATCACTAAACAGTTAACCTTATTTTCTATTTCGCCTTCGAGAATGAAAGCATTTTGTCACTTTCCTATTTGTTTGGTCTTGGTGATCTGGAGAGTGCTTTTATGCTATCCTTGACCTGGGTTTTGGTTTGACTCCTAGTCATCCTTTCCGTTGTAACTATTTTCTATCTAATGACATGGATTTTATAAAAAGTGGAGAAAAGGTCTGACTCTGGGTTTTCCTACCATGATATTATCAAAGTTCTATGTTTTCGTTTAAGTGGCATTGCAGTTAACGAGTCCATTTTATGAACTTTGAATGTTTGTGCTTTTTAGTGTGCTCTTGGCAACTGTTTGTATTTCCCTCGCCCCATTGCAGGTATCTTGGTTATTTTCATTTTATTATAACCTAATTTTTAGTTGGTCCCGTTTTGATTGTTTAAAGTTTGGAATATTTTGGAGCACGAAAGACAAAATTAGTCGTCAATGGCCATTTTGACCTTTACTTTCCCAAGGATATTTGTTTCAATTGGGATGCATTCATTTCCCTATTTTTTTCTTTAGCAAGAAACAAACTTTTTATTGATATACGAAAATGAAAAAAATATTTATGGATATGGGAGTGAAAAAAGAAAAGGCAAAAACAGCCCAGTGATGAATAAAGGCACAAATGATACACGAGATGTGATGAATAAAGCATCTAAAATCTTAACAAATTGATATGTCGAAAGAAACTCAACCACATAAACAAAACAACTAAAATCTCGACAAAACAACACGGTGAATGAAACTCAACCACTCCCTTCAATCTGGGATATCATTAGAATTGCTACTGGCAAAGAAGATCATATCAACATCCTGAGAATGTTCCATAGCTCCATATTTTCAGCAAAAAACCTCCAACCCACAAAGATCCCCTCTCCCCTTTCCTCTTTACCATTGTGGGGGATGCCTCGAATAGGTTGATTCAGTTTTGTTATTAACTTATGAAAGGAACATCCTCAGAGGTTTTTCTGTCGGATCCCTTGCTATAGAGATCACGCACCTCCAATATGCTGATGATGTCCTCATTTTCTGCCCTTTCTCATCTCAGATGATGGAAAATTGGTGGGGGACTGATCCATTTTCTTGCTTGCCTCAAGTCTCTCTTTGAACGTTAACAAAACAGCTGTGATCAGTGTTAATTGCGGTACCACTGAGGTTAATTTCTGGGCTTCTACGTTTGGCTGTAAATTTGAGACCTTCCCCTTCATTTATTTGGGCTTTCCCCTGGGAGGCAACCATAGTGCTGTTAGCTTTTGGGCTCCAATGGTGGAAAAGATGCATAAAAGACTTCAAAATTGGAGATCTCTAATGCTTTCTAAAGGGGGCTCATCACTTTGCCACAATCAGTCCTTAATAGCATCCCCATCTACTACTTTTCCATCCTAAAAGCCTCTAATTCCGTGATTGCCTCGATGGAGAAGATTATGAGGGGCTTTATTTGGAACAGAGGTGAGCAAAGGCCAATTGGTAACTTGGTCAGGCAGCTTTGCCTCATCAATAAGGAGGCTTAGGAGTCGGTTCACTCTCCCTTAGAAACAAAGACTTCCTTATGAAATGGTTGTGGTGCTTTTCTGTTGAGAAGAATAGCTTATGGAGGAGGGTGATAGCTTCTATCTACGATGAGGATTCTTTTGGCTGGTTTTCGATTCCTTCAGGTGGATCTTTGGTTGGCAGACCATGGATTGACATTCAAGATACCAGCATGGCTTTTTTGAATCTTACCTTCTACAAAGTCTCCTTGGGAGAAGGTGTGAGATTTTGGGAAGATACATGGATTGACTCATCTCCTTTCTCAACCTCCTTCCCTGAGTTCTATGGATTATCCAACAAAAAAGGAAAGGCGATTGTGGACTGCTGGGTCACGAGGCAGGGACGTGAGATTTAGGTTTGAGGAGAAATCTCTTTGAAAGAGAGATAGACAGATGGGCGGAAGGGGTGAGTCTAGGCCAAGGTTGAGATAGAATTTGGTTGAAAGCTGATAGTAAAGGTACCTTTTTTGTTTTTTTTAATGAGATAGAACTTCTCACTGAAATAATTAAAATGAGCAATAATGTCCAAGGATACAAACTCTGGAAAGAGAGAAAAGGTGGTGTAGTTAAGTAGCTCTTCATAGCTTTTCTCATTTATTAGCTACTGTTATAGCTTTTATTTTAGTAGCCTTACTTTTACTTTTACATTTATTAGCTACTGTTATAGCTTTTATTTTAGTAGCTTTACTTTTACTGCACAGTAACAATAGTTACTCATGTAATTCTTAACCTTGAAACCTCTATAAATAGGTTTCAGCCTTTTAATGAGAGGGCATTAAATCATTTCTTAAAAAACCTTGTGAGGTGCTGCATCAAATTGGTATCAGAGCACCCAAAATTCTGGGAACTCCTTGGCAGGAAAGAAACCAGCAATCATGTGCGATTCTTCCTTTGCCAACTAAGAATTGGATCAGCTTTCCGTTCTCCCACCATGATCAACGACCATACGCTTGCAGTTGGTCAAAGGAGACATTAAAGTCATCCAAAAGGATGTGGGTGAGATTAAACAAATCCTGGAAATTATACATGGACGGTTGGAAACCTTGAATCTGCAACAAAACCCAACAAGAATGGCTCAACAAAATCCAGCAAGATTGGAGCAAGAAGCAAGGGTGGATGATCAAAAAGGCAGCTACATTCAAGATAGGCAAATGGCTCGGAAGAGTCCAAGAAACCAGTCTAGGTCCAAGAGTTCATCAAGAACAGCATCCTGCCCACCAAGAATTCAACCAGAATGCTTTATCCCAATGGCGGCATGAGATTTTTATGGATTCTTCAAGTGATGCAGATGAACTACCGGAATGGGAAGAAGACAGAAGACAAGTTCGTTATGATCATCGACAATACCGAGATGCTAGTGATTACAAAATGAAGATTGGCTTGCCTAGCTTCAATGGCAAAATGGAAGTAGAAAGGTTTCTTGATTGGGTGGAGAATGTAGAAAACTTCTTTGACTACATGAGTACTCTCGAGAACAAGAAGGTAAAACTTGTAGCTCTCAAATTAAAAGGGGGAGCATCCATTTGGTGGGATCAATTAGAGACAAACCGAAGGAGATTTGGAAAGAGACCAATCCGCGCATGGGAAAAGATGTAAAAACTCATGCGAGAAAGATTCTTACCCATCAATTATGAACAGACCCTTTACAACCAATATCAAAATTGCAAATAAGGTACTCGATCTATCATGGATTATACGGAAAAATTTAATCGTTTTGGTGCAAGAACAAATCTGGTAGAGAACGAACATTACAAAGTTGCAAGATACATTGGGGGATTGCATTTAGATATTAAGGAAAAACTACAACTCCAACCAATTTGAACAACAATGTAGCCGACAAACTACTTGGGATGGCCAAAGTGGCAGTAGCTGTAAAAGCAGTACCTCTTTTGACAAGACTAATCCAGCTTCTGTCCAATCCATTTTGAACAAAAGAAAACAAATAGACACTGAACCTCCTACAGATACTAAACATGGGGGAATTCCAGCAACAAAAAGACCCACTAATACCTAAAATCGACCAAATTTAGGTAAGTGTTTCATATGTGGACAGATTCGGCATTTGTCAAATGAGTGCCCTCAAAGAAGAGCAGTAATTGATCAAGACAATCAAGATTCTGAAAATGAGATCACTTATTTAGAATCGGATGAGGGCAAGCAAGTTTCTTATGTTCTTGAAAGGCTTCTCCTTACACCAAAAACAGAATCTTCTCCACAGAGACATTCTTTACTCAAGACAAGGTGCACCATTAATGGAAAAATATGTAACATGATTATCGATAGTGGAAACACCGAAAACATTGTGTCTAGCAAACTGGTAACGGCCCTCAATCTTCAAGTCATCCCTCATCCTATACCTTACACGGTTAGTTGGATCAAGAAAGGAGGTGAAGCTCAAGTATCAAACGTTTGTACAATCCTTTTGTCAATTGGGAATAACTATAAGGGTCAAATCATTTAGGATCCCAAATACAAGAACGTAACTAGATAACTATATTGCAATCTCAAATAGAAACTACAATATCAGTGGCCTTTCTAGAGAACTCTCTCAAGTTCCTCACCTTAACTATTCTCCAAGATACCCTCCTCTCCTACTACCCCTATTTATATCCATCTTACCCTTAACTAATTACCTTACTCCCCTTTACTAACATATTAACAATAGTCCCCATATACTCCTATTAGGACTCTAACATTACCCGACTCTTCGAAGACACCTTGTCCTCTACACAAAAACAATTTATATTTGCTAAGAAAACCCTAGCTGCCCTGATGGTGCGTGTAACAGACGGATGCGACTGGTGGTGTGTGACAGATGACGATGGACGCTGGCGTGCAGCAAACGATGGTGCGGTGGTAGTGGTGTGTGACGGCGACGGCGGGCGAAGGTGTACAACAGCGTACGGTAGATGGTGGCGGCTATGGACGGCGATGGGAAAAAAATCAAAGGTGTTGGCGATGGTAGGGACGATAGAGGTGCATGTTTGCAGCGGTGCTGATGGTTGGAAGTGAACAATGGTGGAGATGCTGGTGGTGAGAGCAGCGGTGGGCAAACGATGGTGGATGGAAGGTTGCAGACGACGGCGGTGACTGGTGGCACAATCTGCTACCCAGGGGGAGGGTCATGGCAGCTAGGGTTTCTGTCTCCTCATGGGTAGGGTGGGTTATGCCAATTCGGGTCGCCTTTGAAATGAAATGGGCGTCATCCAATTTATTAAATGTGGCCCATCTAACATCTGTGATTTCCAAAGCCCCTGTCCCTTGCCCTTTCTTCCTGCATAAATATTAAGGCACAAAACAATTACAACACCTCTTTTCTTCTCCGACCACCTGAAACGAAGACAGCGGCTCCACGACTTTTGCAACTCCGACCACTCCTAAATTCGCCAGCCAAGTCTTCCCTCAGTTATATTTCTCTTGTTTCTTTCATTTTCGCTGTGATTTTCCATTTTACCTGAGCTTTGCAGGTACTAAAACCCCTTCCCCTTAAGTTTTTCGTTTCTTGCCACAGAATCAACAATGGCCAGCTTCCGTTCGGGCATCCAACCTCCGTCCCTGTTCTATCGCGCCCAATCTTTGAATTTCGTCGTAATCGTATCCGTGCCTTCCTTCCTGGTTCTATCTTCTTTTTCCGTCGCTTATTCATCTGAAAACTCCCATGCAACTCCGATTCAGCCATCTTCGGACTCGTTCTCTTCCTTCTTAGACATTAGATTTCTTCTTTGTCCTTCCTTCTGCAGTTCCGTTGTCGTTGCATTTTCTCTCTTCTTTGACTACGAAGTTTTTCTCCTCCGTTCTCGAGGAATCCCTGCACGAAGACATTCCTTCTCCTCAGTTGATTCTCCATCGAACTCCAATCCACGTTCTTGGGTATGATCGCCGCCTTCCAGCAACCCTTTGTCCCTGCTTCTAAATGCCCTTCGATGTTGCTTCTTCCTTCCTTGATGTCTCTTTTTCCTTATTACCAGTTAACCCATTTTGCATTTCTTTCCTTATTCGAATCGTTTCCTTCGAATGTTCCGTCATTTCTAGTAGCAATCTCCGTAACCTCGTCATTGTCTCGAATGAAAGATTCTCATGGCCAGGATGAACTTGCTATGATACCAATTTGTTAGGATCCCAAATGCAAGAATGTAACTAGATAACTATATTGCAATCTCAAACAGAAACTAAAATATCAATAGTCTTTTGATAGGGCTATCTCTCTCTCAAGAACTCTATCAAGTTCCTTACCTTAACTATTCTCCACGATACACTCCTCTCCTACTACCCCCCTGTTTATATCCATCTTACCCTCTAATTACTATACTGCCCCTTTACCAACATGCTAACAGTACTCCCCATGTAACCCTATTAGGACCCTCACTGACCCACTCATCGGTGGAATTAATGGAAGTATGGAACCATGGGAAAGAGTTTTTGATCTTATAACTTTTCTTACTTTCCGTTTATATTTGAGAATATAAGCTGATTACCAACCCACTCTTCTTTTTCCGCATTAAACGCATTGTTAAAATTCGAATAGAGTTTTCCATCCGTATTTATTCTCTCCAGGTCATTTATTTGAAATAGCTTGCATTTACATCTGGTATAGAAAAAGGGATCAAGGGAGCGGATTGATGAGTCCGCTGAATTTCTTCATGGAAAGGATAAGGAAGGACCTTTCAGACATCCCTTTGACCTTTATTTTCTGAACCATTGCATTGGAATATGATTGGACAATAAAAGCACCATTGGAAACGTGATTCTTATCTGGCGGAGAAGGAACATTAATGCTAGGTGTTTGCATGATGTCCTCGGTAATATCTTTTTTTCAAGTAACTTTTTTCTGACTTGTGGAGACATCCCTTCATTAGAATAAATAGAGGATCTTTTGTTGACAGACCTTTCATCTCCTAAAATCATTTGGATTCTTTTGGATCCGACCATTGGGGTGGGCATGGGTGCCCCTGGTATAGGGGAGCAAAACTCTGACTCCTTGTTATAAAAAAAAGAAAATCATTTGAATTATCTTGATGTCAAGAGAGTTAATTTTTCCTATTCTTTTCTCGCTTTTGGGAGATTGTATCTTGAACATTTTATGTTTCTTTTCATTGGATCAATGAAAGGTTTCGTATCATGTCAAAAGATATGGCCATTTTGTTTGATTTTAGCTCTAGACAGCATTTGGAAAATCACTAACTTCCTAGCTTCTTTCAGGTCTCCTTTACTAGAGTTTTAGTATGTTCCTCTATTTTTCATTTCTCATGATCGGATGTTTTTTTTAATTTGAAATTTCAATTTTTGGCCTTTAGTTCTTTGCTTCTCTATTTCCTTTTTCAGTATGAGTATTGTTTTTTTTCCAAATAAAAAAATAATAACTCACTTTTGCTTATCGCCTACATGTTTTTTACTTTTTTTTTTCCTTGTCCTATTTCGAGGATCCTGGTGATTTCTGGTTTCTGGTGAAGTTTTTCGACTTATTGGCTTTCTGCTCTTGTATTTTTGTCAAACAGTCTTTATGGTGTGCTGTTCCTTGATATATGTGGTTTAATGATGTCTACCATTTCAGATACTGGAGAGGAAAGCAACTGCTGTTGTTAACCAATCACAGTTTTCAGATAGAGATACGAATGGCTTTAATGATAATTATATGAATAATGTCAACAAGCTTCGTAAGTTTTGGCATGAAGGGAAAAATGCTATTGTGATTGATAACCAGGTGAGATTACCCAGCAATACTGCATTGTGGGCACTAAAGTACATTATACTGCAGTTTAATTTTTTTATATATCTATGGAAGGTGTTAATCCTTGAATAACTTTCATTATTAGTCTGATGCATAATAACCAATTCTATTGTAATTTTAAGTTCTGCGCTGCAGTTTAAAAAAGCTGTAATAGGGAGTATTTTATTTTGAGTTGAATGGGTTTTAGGTCTCGTTATAGCTCTACATTATTTTATTAGTATAGAGCTATAAAGAGACCTAGTTGTAGTACTTCTAGTTATTATTTTATTAATATAGAGCTATAAGAAACAAGATAATTTCATCATCCCCGAACAAGCCCCAACTACCACAAAAGAATACCAATTAACCTTGAAATTTACAAGGTTTTAATTACAAAACTCACTCCAGCTAAGGCACAACAAGGAAGCGAAAGAATGCACACCGTCCTAAAAACTCTCACTAATCGTCTCAAAGGTCCAGAGGGTAGCAAACACTGCATAATGCCAAATAATGAGGGCTTCCCTTTTGCTTGGGGAGCCAACAATAAGTTGAAGTAGAGCCTCTTTACTACTCCCACGGAAGCACCACCTAAGACTGAATTCTTTGAACAGCTTGGACCAAATAGCTTTTGCTGGACTCGAGCTCTTTAAGCAACAAGATCGGCATTCAAAGAGTGAAGTAGGTATTTTTTTAATATTAGAAACCGAAAACCCCTGTCACAAACTAACTACAAAAAGGCCATCTAGTTGTTAATAATCATGGAAAGGCCATAATTACAAAATCTTTTTATCTAGTACTCCACCAAGCAGCCAAGTATTGAATAGTATCCACAAAAGAATACTCTGAACTTTGGTTGTCCTAAAAAAACTCTTTGGTTTTTTTCTTTCCATGTTGATAATAACACAACATTCACCGCATTGCAAAATAAGGACCTTGGCAACCTTTGAACCTTAAGCCCGCCAAAGATTCCAACATCCACTCATCAGCCTTCTAAGGGAGACAAGATGAAATACCAAACTCCTTAAAGGCAAAAGAACAAGCCTTAAAAGTAAAGAGGTAGTGAAGAAGCAAATGATCAAATCTTCCCTCTTTTAAAAAGATAACAGATAGAAGGAGACAAACACTCAATGAGGGAATCTTCTCTGTACCTCTCTGATGTGTTGATTCCTCTGTGCAAAGAAGACCAAATGAACAATTTCACTCTCTTCAGAAAAAGAGCCTTCTACACAAGGCCTTGTCACTGTCTTTTAGCTACTTTTTTAAGCAAGAGAGACTTTTCTGAAACAAGGCACATCGTGCCTTCATCACCTGATTAGATTTTGATTTTTTTTATACAAGAAATAAACTTTTAATTGATATATGAAAAGAACCATAATTGTTCAAAGATACAGAGAGGTGATAAGAGTAGAAGAAATGAAGAAATTAAAGGTACAACCATACCAGCCAATAAAACGCTGATTAGATTTTGATATTGAGTATGTATTATTATTTTTATGATCGTTTTTGGATAATTTTGATAATATCATGTTGTAATACTTTTCTTGTTTGTTTACATTTGTTGGTTTGATCACTAGTGCTTTGTTCATTTCTTCTTTGTATTTGCAATGCTTCTTTAAGAATCATGGTATTAACTCCTTGCTGCATTGTTGATGTTGTTTCTTTTTTTGATAAGAGACAAAGCTGGTTGAGTTTGTTGAAATGAGTAATATTTGGAAAGAAGCTTTTAACTGCAGGATCGCGTGGGGAAGGTTATTGCATTCATTTTAAGTTTGCAGCCGGATGTCCTTCGACCCTTTCTCATCATTTCAACTTCCACAGCACTTGGTTTCTGGGATGATGAGTTATTGCGTTTTGCACCATCTTTCAGTGCCGTAGTATACAAGGGAAACAAAAATATACGGAAAAACATTAGAGATCTAGAGTTTTACCAAGGAAATTTCCCGACGTTTCAAGCTCTTATTTGCTCCCCCGAAGTAATGATGGAGGTAGTAATTTTCCTCTGTTGTAATTTTTCATTAATCAATGAAACATTCGTTTCTAGTTAAAAAAATATATATTTTTCCCATCTCATTGATTATTAGATTCTCTCCCTCTTTTCTTTTTTCCTTTTTTTTGTTTTTGATAATTGAGAGTCGGAGCTTTGCTCCCCTATACTCGGGGGAATTTGCACCTGTCCCAAGGCTCGGACTCGGGAAATATAATGGATTTTTGGTATTAAGCTCATTGGAAGGTTCGAATTTGAGACCTCCAAGTCAGTATGACATGAGATCTCAAGCCCTTGTCAATTGGTGCTGCCTCTTGGACGCAAGAAATTATTGGATTCTTATAAAATGACTTTGTTTCTTGCCTGTTAATATGGCTTGGTTTTAGCTAGATTTCTTTTGACTATGATAACTCCACTTTCCTATCGTCCAGTAAGAGATCCCTTCTTGTTTGTGGCTAGAAAATGAGAGAAGAAAGAAGGTCTGGGTCAAATTTCTAATGAAGCGAAGGCGTACAAAATAACTTATTTATTTGCTTTAGCCAATTTCTCTTCTATAGTAATTTCTTTTTTACTTTTATTTTGGATAAATATGCTATTCATACAAGCTTCCAAACTTTCAGTCAACAAGGACATTTCTTGATATCAAACTTCTCTACAGGATCTAGATGTATTGAAATGTATAAACTGGGAAGTGATAATTATTGATGAATGTCAACGCCCAACCGTTTCTTCACATTTTGAGAAAATGAAGATGCTACATGCAGATATGTGGCTTCTTGTTCTTGCTGGTCAGCTCAAGGTTTGTTCTACTGAGTGCTTAATCATATTAACTCCTCACCATTTGATTTATCAATTATGCTAATACTTTTTGACTTGGCAGGATACCAAAGATGATTATCATAACCTTCTTTCTCTACTTGAATCAAATGACCAAATCCAAAGTGAAGATACTTTGAAGACTAGTGATTGTGATAACATCAGCAAACTTAAGGAGAGATTATCATATTATACTGCATATACTTGCACTTCTAAATTTGTTGAGTACTGGGTTCCTGCACAGATATCAAATGTGCAACTTGAGCTGTATTGTGCCACCCTACTTTCTAACACTGCGTTACTTTGCTCATCATTCAAAAATGATCTGCTCGACAGCATCCATGACATGCTCATATCAACTAGGAAGGTTGATTCTTCGAACTCTTGCGTCATTTTTCAATTGACTGTTTAGGAACATCCATTTTAATTCTTCTACTTTAAAAAGTTAATATTTTAACCTTTTTTTTTTTGGATAAGAAACATGAGAAATATATTGAACCTCACAAAAGGGAACAACCTACGGGCAAGTGCCAAGGAGGCCCTCCCCAAAAAAACTACCACATTACATCTTGCCAATCCCGAGAAAGAGAAGCTAGACTGTAATTACAAAAGAATCTCCTATAAGTAAGGCACCAAGATGCCGTAGTAATTTGTACATTTTCACAAAAATTATCAAAAGGTTGAGAGGTGTTGTTGAAGACTTTTTGGTTTCTTTCGTTCCATATACTCCAAAAACAAGCTCTCCCAGCACAACTACAAAGGACCCTCTCTTTCCCTTTTAGAGTGCCACCATGTACAATTCAATAAGCCAATCATTGACCTTCTTAGGAAGACAGCCCAAAATGCCACATTCCGTCATTATGAAAAACCAACAATTTGATTTGAAACTGCAATGGAGAAACAAATGATTAATGATTTCCTCATTTCTAAGGCAAAGGGAGCACTCCACACAGAAGGAGAAATCATCCAATTTTGAAGCTTCTTCTGCAATTTCTCATGGGTATTTAGGCATGGGTATTTAGGCTTCCGTAAGCTATGCTCCAAAGAAAGACTTTGATCTTTTTTGGACAGGAAATTTTCCATATCAAAGTAATAAGAGGGGACTTTAGAAAGGGAGTCACTTCCGTAAGCTTTAAGAACATAGATTTGGTGGTAAAACGTTTCTCTCCGCCCAAAGCCCATTCCACCTTGTCTTCACCCGCCTCCCATCTAAACGAGTTTAGCATCTCCATCAATCTCAACGAGCTCTCCACCTCTCTATCGAAAATACCTCTTCTTAGACCCAAGTTCCAATCATAGTGCTCATTGTTCGAACAATCAACCACAGTACAATCTTTCTTGGTTGTTATTCTATATAAATCCGGAAATCTGCTTTGGAAAGAAATATCTCCCAGCCAACAGTCCTTCCAGAATTTAATCCTTTGCCCGTTCTTCACCTTGAACGAAATAAAGTTCATAAAAGTAGTCCTCATCTTCGCAATTTCCATCCAAGGCCTCCCCATAGTCGCCCCTCTAGATGGTGGTGGCAGCCATCTATTGCCATCTCTGTTGTATATGCTTGAAATAATGAATTTCCACAATGGGTTTTCTTCTTGAGTGAATCTCCAGTGAAGCAAGACATTATTTCTCTGCTTGTAAGCTCGAATCCCCAACCCACCATAAGCCTTAGGCAGGGAAGTATGTTCCAAACTCACTAGATGCCTCTATGAGGGTATTGACCATAGGCACTCCAAAAGAAATTTCTAACAATTTTCTCCATTTCTGAGATCACTTTTTTAGGAGCCTTGAAAATAGAAAAGCATAAGATTTTTCCATTTTTCGAGTTTAGCCCTGAAATTCTCGACAATTTTATCCTAAAAAGAAGCTTTTTTGACATTTCATCCTAGAGGAACCCCCAGATAATTAGTAGGAAGCACCTCTACTTTACAGCAAAAACAGTAGCTTTCTGAAGAATAGCCTCCTTTTCCACAATTATTGCCACCAAAGCTGTCTTCTCAAGATTGAGAGAAAGGCCAGATCCCATCATGAAGAGGGCTAGGAAAGTATACCACCTTTCTAAGTTGTCATCACTATCTGGATAGAAAATGGTAGTATCATCTGCATATTGAAGATGTGTGAGCGCCACCCCGTTTTGGCCTATCCTAGAGCTATTTAGGATTCTTATTTCGCAACAAAAATGAATGGACCGGCCAAGTGGGTCTCCAATAATAGTGAAAAGGAAAGGAGAAAGGGGTCTCCTTGCCTAATCCCCCTTCTCGCTTTAATTTTCCCTCTAGGTTTCCCATTGACAATGATAGAGAAGTTGGTCAAAATAAGACAGCCTCTAATCCACATTCTCCACCTATTGCCAAAGCCTTTGTTCATCAAGATCGCGTCGAGATAATCCCAATCAACCTTGTCATAAGCCTTTTCTATGTCAAGCTTTAGCAAGAAATCTCTCTTATTCTTATCTTTCCAATCCCCAACAACCTCCGAAGCAACCATAATAGCATCAAGAATCTACCTTCCCTCCAAAAAAGTCGCCTGAGAGTCATCAATAGGGAGGACTTTTTTGAGTCTATGAGCAAAAATCTTAGAGATTATTTTGTACAAGGAGGTGACCAAACTAATAGGTCTATACTCACAAACTCTATTGGCCTTTAGTTTCTTTGGGATGAGGCATATGTGGGTCTCATTGGTCTTGTCGTGGATAATTCCATTTTCAAAAAAATCTTGGAACACCTCTACTATGTTTGTCTTCAAGATGTTCCAAGTTTTTTAAAAAAATTCATTCGACATACCGTCAGGACAAGGAGATTTCAAGTTTCCTAGGCTCTGAATTGCTTTCCGGATCTCCTCCTCTTTAAAAGGTTCCTCCAGCCATCTACTCCATTGACCAGTGAGAGGAGCCCGTTGAATACCCTCCAAAGCGAATCTCGAGCCCTCTGTAGTAGCATACAACCTTTCGAAAAACTACACTTCCTGCTCTATATCCTCATCCTGTGACCATCCTCTAACGATGAAACGTAGTTTCTGTTTTTTCTTGTCGAAGCCCATGATGAAAGAAATGAGTATTTTCATCTCCTTGCATAGGCCACTGTTGCTTACATTTCTGAGACCACAGCTTAAACTCCTTAAAAACCATCTTCGATAGCTGAATTCTCAGAGCTCTCCTTTTGTTGTTCAACTCAGCATTTGGGTGCCCCCTCTCCTCAGCCTTGTCTATCTCATCTATTTGCATCTGGCATGGTTTTTTCTCGCAATCCACTCTGCCATAAACTTCTCTATTTTACTTGATCAAATGCCCGTTCAGAATTTTTAAGCGTTCTATGAAAGCATAACTCGGCCAGCCCCTAGGAGAAGCCTCCGTCCACCACTGTTTAATTTTTTCCAGAAAATCCAGATGGTCCATCCACATGTTCTCAAACCGAAAGGGGTTGGTCCCCATTTGTGAGAGCCAAAATTGAGAAAAAGGGGAAAATGATTGGAAGTCATCTAGAGAGCCTATTTAACTTAACATCTTTAAAGGCCATATTCCAGCCTTGGGAGATGAGAAATCTGTCAATTCTTGTGGCAGACGGTGAATCCCTACTACACGACCAAGTAAACTGACCGTTCTTCGTTGGGATATCTACCAAATCGAGCTCAACAATTAAGTTATTGAAGAGCCTCATACTCTTAGTTATCCTGCCTCCTCATAGCTTCTCCGAAGTCCATCGAGTTACATTAAAGTCACCCCCTAAACACCAACCAGAACAAAATTCTGAAAGAGCAGCTAATTCATTCCAAGAATTTTCTCTACCATGAGGGGTGGCTGGGCCATACACACCTGAGATCCAACCCTTATAGATGTTATTATAACAAAAATCAATAGTTATAGAGAACTCACCTATCAGGGAATCTGCCACTGTGATTTTGTCTTCTTTCCCATAATCAAAATTCCACCTGCCGTCCCCTCTGCATCCAAAGAAGACCACCCAATCCGCCTGGAGCTCCAAATCGATTTAATAAGCCTTCTGTCTATAAAGGGAAGTTTCAACTCCTGAAGGATGGCTATTTTTTTTCTAAGAAACATCAAAAAGGTGTATAGATAGAGGAAAGAATCCCAAAGAGTGACAGCCTAAAGGCAGAGGGTAGAGAGAACCCTCCCCAAAGAACTAAACAATCAAGGCTTTCCAATCATGTAGGATGAGTTGGAGGCTATATTACAAAAGATCTTCTTGTGGGAAGAAATCCTCCACGAAGCAATATGCTTAATATTCACACAAAAAGAATCCACCAATTTCGAAATATTCTAAAAAATCCGGCTGTTCCTCTCTTTCCATAAAAGCCAAAGAAGAGCTCAGGCCGCACACTTCCATAAAACACCAGCTTTTCCTTTGAAGTTAGATCCCCCACAACCCTTGGAGATAAAGTCTTCTATTCTCTTAGAAAGACAGAAAGAAAGATCCAGTTGAGAAGCAATAAAAGACCAAGCTTTTGTAGCATAGGAACAGTGAAGGAAAAGATGGTCCACCACTTCTTCATCCCTTAAACACATACTACAGACCAAAGGAGAGAGAACCCACGAGGGACATTTCCTTTGCAACATGCTGCTGTGTTGAGGCCTTTGTAATACAGGTTCCAAAGGAAAAACTTAACTTTCTTTGGAACTTTGAAATGCCAAATCTGATTTGCCATGGTCGAACTTAAGATAGGGGAAGGAGAACTCAGGGCCATAAACGTGGATCTAACCGAAAACATCCCAGAATTATCTGTTTTCCACCACAATCTGTCTCTGCCTTGCCCAATGGCGACCCCCTCTGTCTTTTCAGAAAAAATCCCCCATCTGATTATCTCCCACTCGAAAAGATTCCTTCTAAACCCAAATCCCAAGTTGAAGAATTTGCCGACCAACACTCTGCTATTGTAGCACTCTTCTTTAAGGCAATAAGTGTAGATGTCCAGAAAAGAAGCTGCAAGGGGAACACTGTCAATCCAAGCATCCTCCCAAAAACGAACTGAATTTCCAGAAGAGACTTTGAAGAGAGACCGCTTGGTGAAATCCCTTCTCAAACCTTGAATATCTATCCAAGGTATCCCCACAGAAGAACCTTTAGCAGGCTTAGGCAGCCAACCAAAGGGCTCTTCTCCGTAAATATCTGGTATGACTTTCCTTCAAAAACTTCCTCTCTCTATCGTAAAACGCCATAGCCATTTCATCAACAAAGCCCTAATTCTCTAAGCCAAAGACCAGATATCGAGACCTCCCTTTTCATGCGGAAGAGCTGCCTAAGACCATTCCACCAAGTTTCCGATCGGTCTTGAAGAACCCCCATTCCAAATAAAATCTCTCATAAGTTTTTCCATTGAATTAACCTCTGCCATCGGAGCTTTAAGGATTGACAT